TATATGTATTTTCTTTGCAAGCTTGGAAAATATAGGCTTATTATACCTTTCATGAGCATGAAATGGTATTATAACTTTGGTCCGATGTTTGTAAGTACCAGAATAAGAAGAGATAGACCCATTAAAATGTATACTTATATGATCAGAACGTCGAGCTGAGTTGATTTATCCATGTCCGTCTGTCCGTCTGTCTGTCTGTTTGTATGCAATCTAGTCTCTCAGTTTTAGAGATATCCGGATCAAATTTGGTATGTGGGTGTATTTTTATAATGTATTAATCATTTGTCGGAACCGGAAGAATCGGACCACTATAACATATAGCTCCCATACAACTGATTGTTCAGATATGAGATTTTTTGTTATAACTTCTCCATTTATGCAGCTACGAACATGAAATTTTGCAGCACTTGCACCCATTATCAACAGAATGCTTACGGTGAAAATTACAAAGATCGGTTCACTACAACCTATAGCTCCCATACAACTGATTGTTCAGATATGAGATTTTTCGTTATAATTCATCCATTTATGTAGCTAGGCACATGAAATTTTGCACTATGGTCACTCATTATCAGCAGAAGACTTACAGTGAAAATAACGAAGATCGCGTCACTATAGCCTGCAGCCCCTATACAACTGATTGTTCAGATATGAGGTCTTTTATCATAACTCCTCCATTTATGCAGCTAGGAACATGAAATTTCGCACCATTTTCACTCATTATTAACAGAATACTTACAGTGAAAATAACAAGGATCGGGTGACTACAACATATATCTTCCATACATCTGATTGTTCAGATATGGGATTTTACTGTAAAACTGCTTTATTTGAACAGCTAAAACCGATAAATTTCGTAAGATATTTTATAAATAATAATACAAAGTCTACTGAGAAAATCGTCAAAATCTATGCTGTATAAGCTTTATCTCCTATAGCACTGATTGTTCAGGTACCAGTTTTTGCGATATATCTCCTTTATGTAGGAAACTAAACCCAATAAATTGTGTTACCGGTTTACATACCGATCACATAGCAGTGAAAATCACTTAGATTGGTGCCATATAAAGTATATCTTCCATACCTGATTGTTTAGATGCGATTTTTTATATATGTATGTAACTCCTCTATCGATGTATGCAGATGTATTCAAAATCAGTAATCTGTCAAACTAAAATTTGCAGATGTTCATGAAAGGTATGAAGGCTTCGGCATAGCCGAAGACAGCGCTGCTCTTACTTGTTTTTACTTAAATGTGATATAAAGCTCATTCAAATGTTGTGCAATGTCTTGTTATCATAGTGCTTTTTATTTTTATTGTTCACCATACGTGAGTTGCTTCTATTGAAAAAGATCTACACCATTTCCAGTTGTAAATGCGAAAGCGTCAATTGTAAATGAGAATAGTCATTTTTAAATGAGAAAGCGTCAATTGAAAATGAGAATAGTCAATTGTAAATGAGAAAGCGTCAAATGAAAATGCGAAAGCGTCATTTGGAAATGAGAATAGTCAATTGTAGATGAGAAAGCGTCAATTGTAAATGAGATTAGTCAATTGTAAATGAGAAAGCGTCAAATGAAAATGCGAACGCGTCAGTTGTAATTGAGAATAGTCAATTGTAAATGAGAAAGCGTCAATTGTAAATGAGATTAGTCAATTATAAATCAGAAATCGTCAAATGAAAATGCGAAAGCGTCAGTTGTAATTGAGAATAGTCAATTATAAATGAGAAAGCGTCAAATGAAAATGCGAAAGCGTAATTTGGAAATGAGAAATAAAACTAAATGAATTGCGTACTGCATATATAATAGATGATTTAAATTCGCTTATCACTGATAATACTTAATCAATTATGTCGCTACAAAACGCGTTTGAAAACGGAATTTTTAAGTTTTCAGAAGGTTATGATCTTCATCTTTGCTGTTTGTAAGCTACGTCATATTAGAGTATGTACATACAGTTGTCCACAAAATAATAGGAGTGGGATATTTTAACCTGTTTTGGCTATTTGTCTTTAGTTTATTTAATGTTTCGTATTTTTTTGCAAAAGCCTAGCTGGTAATACAACAAACACCATATAAATTTACATTCTCAAGTTTGTACAAAAACTATAAAAATTCTGCAAATTTTCACCAAAATTTCAAACTATTTAACCAGAGTCTTTAGAAAATATGTTGGTATGCAGTTTTGTAGCCCATTCAATTCTATTATGAAGAAATGCAAGTTTCAAGCTGCTAAAAAATTCCGTTGATTTTTGAGAATTTTTTCGGTTGAAGGTGTTTCACGTTTTTTCCATACAAAGTATGTTCGACAATTTTCTTTTATATGGGGACAGCGCCAGCAAAAAAAATTGCCAAAAATCAACGAAATTTTTTAGCAGCTTGAAACTTGCACTTCTTCAGACTACATAGAATTGAATGGGCTATAAAACTGCATACCAGAATTTTCTCTGAAGATTCTGATTAAAAAGTTTGATATTTTGGTGAAAATTTACAGAATTCTAATAATTTTTGTACAAAGGTTGAAATCTGAATTTATTCGTTGTTTGTTGTATACCCAGCTTGACTTTTGTATAAAAATAATAAACATTAAATAAACAAAAGACAAATAGCAAAAACTGACCAAAATAACGCACTCCTATTATTTTGTGGACCACTGTATATAAGAAGGCAGGAAAATAAAGCTGGCCAATATTCGGATGAAAACGATGTCGGTCGAATTCCGAAAAACCTTCACGAATTACTTATATACATATAAATGTATGTATGTAGTTCATCATGACCTTCTTGAATCTGTTTAAACCATTACGGTATGTCTCGGATCAATGTATGTAGCTCGATAGAGAACACTTTTCGGTTTTCTTTTCGCCGGGAAGTCTCAGTTGTTTTACACTGGCGGAAGAACTACTTTACGATTAAAAAGTATATAAATCAAGTATGTTAAAAATATGCATATACATATATAAATTACTTGGATATTTCATTAATAAAGTGCCGCGTTTAGCGCCATATTTCCCCATGCTAAACCCCATTGAAATAATCTGGGGAAAAATCAAAATGCATGTAAAGGGGCACATCTCAAACCCAGTCATAAATGGGCCAAACCTTGTTGAACAACGGCTGCAATATTTGGAGAAGTTGAAGAAGAGAGAATTTCAGCACGCAACATCTTTCCAGGAAAATGCTTTATCTTTACAAGATATGCAAGTTGGGACATAATAAACTTGCATTTTTAATAACATCTAAATAATTTCTGAATAAAAACGAGTTTCTCATTTCCAAATGACGCTTTCGAATTTTCATTTGACGCTTTCTCATTTACAATTTACTATTCTCATTTTCAATTGACGCTTTCTCATTTACAATTGACTATTCTCAATTCCAAGACGATTTCGCATTTTCATTTGACGCTTTCTCATTTACAATTGACTACTCTAAATTACAAATGACGCTTTCTCATTTACGAGGGTGGATTGAAAAGTCGTTAGAATGAAAAACTAGACATTGGTTTTTTAACAAAAAATTGATTTATTTTTCAACATAATCTCCTTTTAAGTCAATACATTTTTTCCAACGCTTTTCTAACATATTTATTCCTTCTCTAAAATAAGTTTTTTCAAAACCTTCAAAATAAGTATTTGTTGCAGCTATAACTTCACTATTTGACACAAATCTTTTTCCGCCGAGCCATGTTTTCATATTTGGAAAAAGGAAAAAGTCACTGGGAGCTAAATCTGGCGAATATGGCGGATGAGGGAGCAATTCATAGCCTAACTCATTTATTTTTTCCTGCGTTTTCCAAGATGAATGTGAAGGAGCGTTATCATGATGAAAGAGGATTTTCTTCTTTTTCAAATGTGACCGTTTTTGTTTAATATTTTGGTCCAATGTATCCAACAAAGATGAATAATATTCAGCTGTGATGGTTTTACCCTTTTCAAGATAATCTATGAAAATTATACCTTGTGCATCCCAAAAAATAGATGCCATAACCTTACCAGCTGATGCAACGACCTTTGCCTTCTTTGGAGCACTTGAGCCACGTTCTACCCATTGTTTGGACTGTTCTTTAGACTCTGGTGTATAGTGGTGGATCCACGTTTCATCCATCGTTATGAAACGACGCAAAAATTCCGATGGATTTCTGTTAAACATGTCTAAACCAACTTTTGAAGTCGACATTCGGTTCATTTTTTGCAGAGGAGTTAGCAAACGCGGCACCCATCTTGCTGAAAGCTTTTTCATACCCAATTCATCATGTATTATGTTATGCACACGTTCATAACTAATGTTCACAATGTCAGCAATCTCTCTCAATTTAATTCTTCGATCTTGTGTGACAATTTTGTACACTTTTTCCACCGTTTCTGGAGTCGTTACCTCTTTTGGCCTCCCAGAGCGTGGCTCATCTTTGGTGCTTATCCGACCACGTTTAAACTCGTTTACCCAATTGTAAACTGTTGCATTTGAGGGTGCATGTTCCCCTAATACTGTCTGCAACTCCTCAATAATTTGTTTCTGGTTTAAACCTTTCAAATGAAAGTACTTTATAACAGCACGAAGTTCACTTTTTTCCATTTTTAATAAAAATACAATAGTGTTTTGCAAAAATAATTCTCAAAAAAGTACCGTTAGACCATATGTTATGAAATTTTGACAGCTCGCTTTTGACAGTTCACTTTTAACATTCACAATAATTAAGTAAATTAATGACCGATAGATGTCGCAATTCTAACGACTTTTCAATCCACCCTCGTACTATTGACCTTTTCTCATTTACAATTGACTATTCTCAATTTCAAATGACGATATCGCATTTACAATTGACTATTCTCATTTCCAAATGACGCTTTCGCAATTTCATTTGACGCTTTCTCATTTACAACTGGAAATGGTGTAGTACAAAGGATTTTTTTGTTTTGAAATTGTTTGTTTATTGTTTTTAATTTTTAATATTCCTACTTTTGACATCCCAGAAGATAATTTAGGTAGGCCTTCTTAAGTAAAGCAATTCTAAGAGGCCTACCCAAGAAGGGCTGAAAAAAGTGCTAGCCTAAATGCCTTCTAGAAGGCCTTTTCTAGTTATAATTTAATCAATCAATAGATATGCTGGTCTGGCAACGCGATCATAGCTGATATTTATGTATACCTATTCTTCAAGCGATCAACACGTGTGTGTAGAAATTTTAAAAGAAATATAAGCAATAATTCAATAAATAAATTTAAAGGGTCTAATGTAAGTGTTGTAAAAATTTATAAAAGGGGAATAAGTAAAAGTAGCTTTCATAGAAACCTGAAAGTAGAAAAACAAAAGCTCTTAAATCAATTGCGATTGTGCAGAGGCGCACCTCAAGCGAATAATGTTAATTGTGAAAATCCCATAAATACCACTGATATTTCCACCACTTCTGCAGCGGCTAATGTCGAAGAAATTGATGTTTCTTTAGTGCCAAGACATCAGGCGGAAGAAACTTTACAAACTAAATTAATTTAATTGTGCAATCAGTACAATCCGACACGCGCAAGTGCAAATGCATTGCTCAAAATTTTAACCTCTGACGGTTTGGCGGTCCCTACCCACATAAAAACACTTTTAAAAAATAAAAATTGCTCAGAAAGTGTGATTTTTAGGACAGTGTCACCGGGAAGCTATTGCCATATAGGTTTTTTGAAACAACTAGAAAAAATTCCATATGAGTTTCTGCGAGAAGAAAATTCAATAACTTTTGATATAGGGGTAGATGGTATTCCGCTCTATAAAAGCAGTTCCCAAAGTTTGTGGCCAATTATGGGAAGGTTTGTGAACATCAATATTGATGTATTTTTAATTGGTGTCTACCTCGGCGGAACAAAGCCTTACAATATAGACTCATATCTACATGATTTAGTTTCGGAAATAAAAAACCTTAAAGAAAGCGGAGTTGAGCTCTCTGGTCGCAGTTTCCAAATTGATTTACGAGCGTTCATCTGTGATGCACTTGCTCGGCTCTTTCATGTGTAGCACGGTAGGCCATAACGCTTTAATAGGTTGCGAGAAATGCTACCAAAGGGGCCAAAGGATTAATAACGTAACAACTTTCAGTACAGCCTCAGCTGAACCAATAACGTATGAAGATTTTCGTAACAGAAAGCAAATACAATTCCATAAAGGTTTTCATCAAAAGAGGCATAGTGAATTAGAGTTAATAGGAATTGATCTTATAAATAGAAAAACCGTTCAAAAAATTGGGACTAACGACAAAAACTTGATGTCAACTAAGTTGATTTCCCTTGCTCTCTTCATCCCCAGGGAATTTCAAAGGAAACCGTGATCGCTAAATGAAATTTGTAGATCGAAATCTACGGAGTTCCGGCAATTTGCCCTTTATACGGGCTTAGTCGTTTTAAAAGGTATTGTAGCGAGGAAATGTAAAATGGATATTTACTACTACATGCATCTTATAGGATGCTTTCTTCACCAGTAAATTCCAACTTTAATTTAAATAAGGCGGAGGAAATACTTAAGCTTTTCGTACAAAAGTTTCCAATTTTGTTTGGCGACTCCTGCGTGACATTCAATGTACATAACCTGCTGCATTTGCGAAAGTGTGTAGAAGATATGGGCGCACTTCCGAATTTTACTGCTTACAGTTTCGAAAATTTTATGCAGGAATTGAAAAAAAAATGTCGCCTTCTAAGATTCTGCAGCAGATAAGTAACAAATATTCCACCTCAGAACTTAAGACTAAGGCTGTCCCAACTGGTTTTAAAAGAAATAAATTGGGGAAAATTATAAGTTTTCAAAATGAAAATTTCTTTGTGAGTACATGAATGCCAGATAATTTGTGCTGCATAGCTCCTTTTCAAATAGTAAGAATTACTGGATTTGTCGAAAGACAATAAATTTTTTTGAATGGGACGGTACTCACACACTTAAAAAATTTCTTTGAGCACCAATCTATGCATATGTTAGGGATATGCACTGGAAATATTTTTGATGAAAACGCTGATAAGAGAGATTTTAAGATAGATGAAGTAATGTGCAAAATGATGTACTTTCCCTCAGAAAATGAGTATTTATTTATTCCTCTTTTACACGGCTTCGACAACACTTATTTATAATTTAAAAATTTCATAAAAACAAGATGTCGAAAAAAGTATTAAAAAGCTTGTGCACTTCAAACGCTAATTTTGAAACTCACACAAAATCACATACAATTGCGAAACACTGTCACAAATGATTCCAAGGACGCGCAAATAAATGGTAATATTATTCGTATTTTTTATTTTAAATTTACTAATTTTAACTTTCCTATATCTTGCAGATTTACAATTAAGAATCGATAATTTATAAAATACGGTAAACAAGCAAAACGAAATCATTATGGAAGAGCTGGCCACAATAAAGGCGTACACCCAACAGGTTGTTTTGTTTAAAACAGGAAACGCCGAAATAATAAAGCTTTTTCCAATAAAAACTGAGAAAGATTTGAATAACTTCGAAAATTCAGAAAATTACGATGAAAATGAAATGGTAAGAAGCTGCTTAGTTATTTTCCTCCATTTAATTTATACAAAATATACTGTCTTTCTTTTCTAGATCATGACTGTTCGGAAAATAATAAAAAAGGCGGTTTGAAGCGAAACTTGTCGAGCCTCCTGGGACTTGAGATAATAAAATCTTTTAATTATGATGGCATGCAGGGGAAAAAGGCTTTCCGTAACTTAGCTGTGCTTAACAATATATTTTTTAGTAAGTACATATAAAGATACAGATTACGTTAATTCATATTTTTAGCGTAGTTAAGGTTTTAAAATGATATTTTCCCTCTCAATATTTCAGACGCTGCCGAAGACGTGACAACGCGGGAGCAATATCGATCCGAAATGAAAAGCGGATTTAAATTAAGCAAAAGTCGACTATATAAAGCAACTCAATTGCTTAAGAAGCAAAGTATTTGATTGACCTTTAATTTAAGTAATTCTACTATTTATTTTTATAAACGTTAATTTTTAGTTTTTTGATCTCAATGAATTCAACTGTACCTAATTGCAATACCTTAATTTTTATATTAAATGAATTTCTTTGTATAAGTTAATATTTTAATATATTTAGCTTAGCGTTACAAACGAATGTGAAGTGCATTTTGAGTTGCAATAAAACTGGTTTGAAACCTCAGAGAAGTATGTATTTTTTTAACTAAAGCAGCACTTTTAGAAGAACTGCTTCAAAACGCCTTCTGAAGTACGTCTTCCAAAAGCCCATCTGGAAGACCTTCTGTAGGTAGCGAAATAAGAAGGCCTTCAGTGGTATGTTCTACAAAAGCCTGCCTGGAAGACCTTCTGTAGGTAGCGAAATAAGACGGCCTTCAGTGGTGCGTCCTACAAAAGCCCTTGTGGAAGCCCTTTTATGGGTAGCGGAAGCAGAAGCCCTTCAATTTGTCCCACTCCATACAAAAAAGAAAGGAAGAAGGAATGTAAAGTGGAAGGCCTCTTGACTCCCAGGAAGGCCTTCTGGAAGGGCTTTTTACACCTGAAATTATCTACTGGGATGTATGTGAATGGCGTAGTTGCCGCCTTCCTCCTTTTCGGTGGGTTTTATATAAGGCATCAAAATGGGAAAAAACCTCCTTGGTATCTCTGCATCTGTTAAACTTTTTATGGGAAGATTTATGAAAATTCAACTTGCTATAATTTCATATGCTTAACAGTATCACAACAGTATGTTTACAGTATCTCCCCATAATTTTTTTATATGAAAAAATCTATTATATGCATCCCACTCGATATCATTGAATTCCTCATAAGAACATGTAGTCCCTCTATTTTAGCGTATCAAAAGTTCATATGGCTTCATACCATGTAAATGCACCATTATGTACATTCATGTAAAGGGTGAACACACCAAAACTGCGACACTTTGGGAAGCTTATAGCTTATAGCTTACCCAAAAATATTTCAATATTTTGAAATTCAAATACCATAATCTGACCATGACGTTGGACGTAGAACAAATTTCATTTGAATTTGATTCCTAGTTGAGTTAAAAATGGCAACCGAGTTAGAAATGAGACAAACCATTTTGCACAAGTTTATAAATGATCCGGTCGGCCTTTAAGTACACGTAAAATTGCTAAAAATTAAAGATTGCACTATTCGACAGTTTGCAGGGTTTTAATCAGGTACAAATAAGGCCTGGCAGTTACGAGAAAACCAGGGAGCGGGGGTTAGCATGGTCAAAGTGATAAAAACAGTGCTCGGGAGGTCCTCAGTGCGTTTTCGCGAGATCCGAAGATTTTGTCGCGTTATGTTGCAAAATCCGTACGGAGATCGCAGTTTTCGTACAAAAGGTAAAGCGGAAAGCTTCATTGAGATGTTCTACAGCTCAAACAGCGCCGGATCGAGGCGCAAAGTAGAATGTTACAGCGAAATCTCGCATTCGGAAGTTGTATGAATTCTAATCTAAAAAATACAACTGCATTGTTATGGACTACGAAACCTACTGCTTTAAAAATTCAAAATATATTGCAGGTCAAGATTTTTATACTGCTGCAAGTCGTCAAGATGCCCCTGAAAGTTGTAAGCTGAAAATGAAGTCAAAATTTCCAAAAAAAAAAACCACATGGTTTGGTAAGCTATTTCTTCCTGTGGCCGTAAGAGCAGCGCTTTTTTCCCATCCGGGACAATGAATGATCAAGTTTATCGGGATGAGTGCCTCAAAAGGCGTATTCTGTCATTTATCAACAGATAAGGAGTAGGCCACTGTTCTAGGCGGACATGGCAATCTGCCACTATGCCAAGGATACATGGCCGTGGTTAATGCAAATAACATCTATTTTGTACCCCACGACTGCAATCTACCCAATAGCCCAGAGCTACGTCCTATTGGGGAATCTTGGTCAATTGTCAAAGGAATCTTGAAGAAAACAGGTGAAACAGTGAAAAATATTGAAGAGTGCAAAACAAAGTAGTTGTGCGCATCGCGTCAAGTCGATGATGCAATCGTGCGGAACATGATGGCGCGTGTGCGAGTAAATTTCCTATCACTTGCATATGGAGCAAATAATAACTAATATTTTAACATTTTAATAACATCTAAACTTCCAAGTTATATAATAAAAAAATAATTTCAAAGCCTTCTAGTTTGTTTCTGGTAGTAATTTCTAAGTGTCGCAGTTTTGGTGTGTTCACCCTTTAATACGAGAAATAATATACAATTTTTGTTATATTCCAGTCTATTGGGTTTTACTACTTTTCTTCCCTTCTCGCTTTCTTTCTCCAAGCCGCTTGTGTGGTATATTTCGCTCTTTAGCGTAGTTCCCCAGTACGTTTTCTCAACAAAAAATTTAATAAATTTTCAGAAAAATAGCCGAAAGCGTACCCTTTTCACAACCATTTTCGGTACTTTTGTAAACCTAATCCGCGTTTCATCCACTTTTCTTCCCGTTTTCGGATTAATTTTCGAATTTTTTGCTCGCTGGACTGTTCTAGCCTCGCGCACACGTATTATCACTATTACACTGTGAAAGAGCGGATCAACACGTCTTTAGAGGGAGTCGAGAACGAACTTATAAAAAGTTTGAAAACTTGTGAATTTTTTAGTTTGCAACTTGACGAAAGTACCGACGTATTGGGACTTAATGTGCTTCTCGTGTTAGTGAGGTACCCATTCGCAGCGCAAATCAAAGAAGAACTTTTGATAAGCGCAGTACTTGAGACTTGCACCCCTAGCGACGAAATTTTTAAAGCTATCGACAAATTTATACAGAAAAATGGTTTGAAATGGAGCAAGTCTGCGGATATTTGCAGTGATGGAGCAGCCGCAGTGGTTGGAAAAGAGCGATGTCTAGGATGAAGAAAGAGGCAGAAAACGCCACGAGAAGTCACTGTATGATCCGTCGGTTTTCCCTGGCGACTAAGAAGATGCCGCGACTAGATTTAAAACCCGTATTGGATGACGCTGTGAAGGTAACAGAGGCCTTCGAATTTAAAATACATCTTTGGGTCTTTCAAGAACGTCGAGATTTTTTTATTGGTGAAAAGCATATTTTAGAATTTCTAGCAATTTGCATGAAAACATAAATAAACAAAGTAAATCAGAAAAGCGCATGTAACTTCGAAGTTAACGCTAAGAAAATTGATAACAGCCGGTTTCACCAGCAATTTAAATGGAAAATGATTTTTTATTTTTTGTCAATTTCCATATAAAATTCAAAAAATTAAAATAATTTTTCACTTAAATTGCTTTCGTGAAATTGACTGTAAAAGTTATTTTCTTAGCGTTAACGGGCATTATCAGCGTTAACTTGGAAGATTTAGAAAAAACCATTGTCGAATATATTCCCAACATTGACTCTGAGGATCTCTACAGCTGGATAACAAAACTGTTTTCATGTGACCCGAAAAGTAAACCTACTGAGATGACAAATTAAGCTTTTGATAACCTTGTGGACATCAGTGAAGACCGCACTTTGAATATTAAATACAGTAAAACCCGCTTAAGTACCTCACGAAAAATGTCAGCTTAGTACTTAGGCGAATTGAGTACTTAAAAGAACCCGCTTAAGTACCTCGATGCGGGTTAAGCGAACATAATTATTGATGTAGTTACATCTTTTTGTTAACTTACACAAATATGTAAATCCTTGAATAAAACATGAACATTTAATGAAGTATACGTATTTATTTAATTTTTTTCCATTAATTAATTCCCTAACAAAGCTTATATTCACAACTAATAGAAATAAAACACTACAAAATAACTGTAATGTGCCTAATGTCAAGAATTGATGGCACTGAAAATCTCGCAAAAGTATCACCCTTCCTAATAAAAAAAGTTATTGACTCAGTGTGCGGCGGTGAAGTAGACTTGTGTAAAAAATTAAAAAACGGAAGCATCTTAATTAAAACCAAAACCTACGTTCAAGCAACAAAATTAATTACACTATCATCACTTTCACCCTCCATAAAAACTGAAGTTTCTGAGCACAATACCTTAAACAGTTCAAAAGGTGTTATTTTTTCAAGTGAGTTGAAAGGTACACCACAAGGCATAATAAAAGATGAACTCAAAAATCAAAATGTTAGTGAAGTTAGAAAAATAAAGAGAAAGATTGACGAAAACTTAGTTGAAACAGGTTTACTCATTATCACGTGCGATAACCCTATACTTCCAAACGACATACTTATTGGCTACGAAAAAGTAAAGATAAGACCATACATCCCACTTCCACTCCGATGTATGAAATGCTTGATATACGGTCACTCAAAAAAAAAATATGCAAAAACTCTCAAATGTGCGTAAATTGTGCAAAAGTTTCTCACACTGACCCTGGAAAAAACGAAAAGTGCACTGACACCACTGCCTGCAGCAGCTGCATTTACCACTATATTGACAACGCCAACTACAATGCACTGAACAAAAGGTGTCCAATATTTGTAGAAGAAAAAGAAATACAAGCCATCATAACGCTAGAAAAAGTGGATAGACGAAAAGCGATAACTACGTACGGAGACCGTCACTTTCAAAATATTCCTATCCCTAACAATTTTTCACTGTATTCGTTCAACTCGAATCCACCATACGGTGGAGCAGCCCTACTTTTACATAATTCCATTCAACACGAAATAGTATCAACACGAAAACACTTTGATAACGTAACCGTGGAAATTTATTCTATAAGAAAATTTAAAATTTCATCAGCATACATTCCTCCCACCTCCAACTTTCAGACTCACAGCTTAGAAAATGTATTTAACCAAACACACGACTCACACATTATTACAGGTGACTTTAACAGCTGGCACCAAAACTGTGGCTCACATAAAAATAACCCGAAGGGTAACATATTAGCAAACTTCATCAACCAATCCAACTTTATACTTTTAAATGACAAATCCCCTATTCACCTTTCTACACACAACACGTTCACTCACCTCGATTTGACTTTCTGCTCTCCCGATCTCCCCGCACATGCGGAATAGAAGACTTCAGACGACCTAAACGGAAGCGACCACTATCCGATTGTCATTGCCTTATTTCCGAGCGGAAATCACTTGGAAATACTCCTTAAACCCAAATTCCAAGTCAATCGTGCAAATTGGTCACTATTCGAAAGAAGATGTACTCACTATGAGTCAATCAGACCTATCAGCCACAATATAAACTCCGAAGCTTCTAACCTCAAAAAAAATTTACTACAATCGG